TCAATGAGCAAGTTTGCTGTACTTGGGACAGAGGGGGCTCAGGTGTTCTCAGGTGGTTGGAATCTACCAGCCACAGGATTCACTGAGCCCCTGGCAATTCTAGTTCTTCCTCCAGAGGCTCCTTCTGGTGGTGATGTAGCCATCAAGTCAGACATGGCATAGGTTGGCTTTGTCTTTAGGGGATCATCACCTCATATGCCCCTGACTGCAACCCAAGCCTCCACTGTCCCTCCTGATAAATACTGGATATGAGCCTAACACCCATCCCAATAGGCCCCCGGGCAGTCAGCTACCCTGGTCTGGAACCTTGGCTGCTTTTCCCGGGTTGGAGCTGAGGCCTTTGAAATCTTAAATAAGGCAGCATGCGCAAAAACTCTATTAGGTTTTTAGCATAGTCTTCACCCTCAGGCTAGCCAGTTCTTAAAATGAAAATTCGAAGCACTGAGTGGCGGGCCCTGAGGTTGCCCTGCAGAAATTCCTAGGATGAGAAGCGCGTCTTCTGGTCACTAGCCTCTTCTGGTCACTAGCACCTGTCCTCCCTGTGCCCGCGCAGGAAGCTTCCCCTGGAGTGGGGACCCGCATACTCTCTAGTGACAGGACGAAGGGGAGTCTAAGAAATGAAGGTTTTGTCCCTCCGAGCACCAAAAGTCATCCTCTTGAGCAACCAGCAAGAAATGTAAAAGTCCTCCAAGTTTCCACAGCGAGAGGGAAGCAACACTCGCTATACTAGAGACAATCTCTAGTTTGGGAAATGGCGCCCCCAGATGGCTGCAGCGAATGTGGAGAAAGTCTTCGCCCTGGCCCTGGCAGCCTCGCCAGGAGCCTGGGAAGACCTGGTACCCGAGAAAAAAAGACAGCACGCGCCCTTAGAAAGCCTGTGGATAAAAGTCAATTAACAACACTGCTGGAAACAAGCAAAAGGACAGGACCCTAAAGCAGACAGCAATGCCACTTACTGTGTGACCTGGTTCATACTTAACCCTGCTGTGCCTCAGTTTCCTTATAATTATGAAAATCCAAAAGAGTAACAATCAAGGCACCAGTTTGCCTTACCAGTAACAAGCAAGGTAAGTTTGCTTGCCACTAAGCCTGACCATCTGAGCTTGATCTCCGAGACCCACGGTGCAAGGAGAGAACCGACCCCTGTCCCCTCCAAAGGCATGCTGTGGTCCATCAACCCTCATAAATCAATGTGTGTGTTGGAGTGGGTGGTATTTGTTAAAGATAATAATCACGACCACCTGCTAAGGACAAGATGACACTGGTTAGGCAGTTGCTGCATCTTTTTATCTTGCTGGCAGGTTTGTCCTATGTGCTGATGCTCCACTATTATTCTTGGCTCCTAAGCTGCTGTAGATAGAGCCTAGCCCCTCCCCCTCCCCCACCGTGCATTTTAACAAGGAAACTGGAAAGTTAGCAGCCACATTTTCATCTAAAGTGATGTGAACACTGGAGAATAGGGCTGAGAAATTAGTTTCCATTTCAAAGTTTGCCTCCTGCGCAGCCGGGAGCTGCATAGTGGAAATTAAGAAACCAGCGTACACGCAGCTTTCTTGCTTTCTCTCATTCACAGTGCCTCGGTAGGCTTTCAGGACCCCAATATTGAGTGCAGGAGGAAGCTCGCTTTCCCTGCACCCAGCCCACCCCGCGACCTTCGCGGATCCTGGGTAGAATTGGGGTTGGCAGCCTGGGGAGCTTGGAGGTCACCTAAGCATCTGAGTGTTAGAGCGAAGGTCTTCCTCTCCAGAAATCTAGCAATCAGCAAAGGGTTAACCGAGCAACAGAGAGACTGGGGAGACTTTCTTTTTCAAGATTCTTCAGTGCCCTGAGGACAGAAAACATCAAATGGAGCGGCAGGACCAAATGCAGGAGTTGTGAGGGCTTTTCTTCAGGCCTGCAGCATTTGAGTCGGAGGTTGCTCACTGCGCGCTGGGGTGGGGAAGAGGTGGGAGGGGACCTACCTATCGCTGCCTGCAGCCTTCTCTGTAGAATGTCTGGGCCTGGCACTGGGGATCCCAGTACAGTCACTGTTTACTAACTAGGTGAGGATGAATGAAGCTTCTCTTCCTGGAAATAGGCAAAAGGCTCAACGTGGACTCTCTCTCTCCGAGGCAAATGCCTGCTGTTTTGCATAAACAGTGATGAGAGGAGGAAACCTGTGAACCAGGGAGCCTCCAGGGAGCACCGCAGAGCCTGGGCTAACCCAGGCGGGGCAAGAGCGTCCCTCTCCAGGAGTTCGCACCTCCGGGCTACGTAAAGTCACATAGAAAGCCCCGCAGGGACGGTCACCGAGTGTTCTTGGCCTGTGCCTTACAGTGGTCCACTCTCTGCCGGAGGCTAATGCCCTGCTTCCCTGAAGCCGGTTGGCCTCGCGGGCGCTCCTGTCACATACACATGCATTTGGCTGGTCGCGGACGAAAGGAAGGTGCACGACTCGAGATGGAGAGGATGCGACTGGAGCCGCGTGGGGTCCAGGCCGAGTGGCACCGATGTTGGAAGGGTCTGAGACAGGCCTCCTGGGTTTCCGCCGACAGGACAAGCAGGCAGGCGGGAGCTAGACCTTGCGCTCGGCGGCGCCGTTGACTCCTGTACGACTTCGGGCGCCCCCTAGCGACGAGCGGGACGGGCGCGGGATCCCTAAACAATGCCTGGGCCCGCGGGAGTGCGCCAGGCGCATGGGCAGCCTGCTGCTCCCCGGAACACAAAAGCCAGTGACTCAAACTAGGCGGATTGGCTTTGGGCTTCTTGAGCTCCCTCTCAGGGGATCTGCAGGCGGGAGATGACCCCATGGAAGTGCTTTGAGGCCACGAGCAGTGGCTACTAGAAAGCCCTGAATCCCACCCCAGGTCCAAGTCCTAGTATTTCAGCGTCCGGGCTCTCAGTAGCTGCTTGATTTAACCTGTCTGTGTTTATGTGGCCCATTTTCAAACTAGTTTGTATCTGGGGAGAAGAACTTTTAAGCCTCTGGCTGCTTCGGTTAGACACGGTTAGATACGGGAAGGCCTAGCCAACTGGATGGTAGAGCCCCGACCTTTCTTCAGCAGAGCAGGAAAAAATGGAAGCTGGACCTTTAGAGAACCAGAAGGTGCCCTTGCTCTGGATGTTTGCCTGCGTTGTCTCTTGCCAGGAGTGGGTAGGAAATAGCATTTTGTCGGCATTCATCACTCCTTAACCCCTTATAAACTGCGGGGCCACAAAATGTGCTGGCCACTGAGCCCCCAGTACATCGTCCAGAAGGATGGAAATGTAAATAGGGCAACGGTGATTAGAGCCTGCTGATGACTCTAAGTGTCCAGGAAGCTATAACAATGTACCCACCTTACATGTGAAAGAGGATCGCTTTCCGGGGGCGGGAGGGGGGGTCACTACCCAGGACCTACAAGGACCTACTGAAAAGGAAGCTGACTCTTAAGGCAAGGGGTAGGTTTGGGGAAATGATCCCCTTTCGTCCCTGCGCGCATGCGAACCCACACAGTCGTTCAGTCCTTTAAACTCGTTCCCTGGCCTACCACCTTACCATTTACGATTAGCCTCCATCCTCTTACCGTTTACAGTCCTCCTGTACTAGGTTCCCTATTCATACACAACAGTTGGTTCACTTCTCACATCCGGTGACCAGGGCGGTGTCCCTGCTTATTATAGGATGAATGAGCTAACTGCGCTAAGGAAGCGAGCGCTCTTGTGAATCTCTAGGCAGGAGTCTTTGCCCCGTTCCTTCCCAACCTGTTAGCCCCCTGGCCCTAGTACTCATAAACCCCAACCATTGCTTTGGTGGCCTATCCCGAGGCAATCCTGGGCTAGAGCCCGTGCTGCCTTCAAGGATGGACATCCCTTCAGAAGGAAAAGTTTCTGCTCCAAAAAGGAGAAATGGCGGGCAAACTCTTGTGAGTCTGACAAGTCCTCTATGATGACAGAATCCTATAGACACCCCAGCAAAATAGCAACTCGATGCATCATTGCTATTACGTTTTATGATTCAGAATAGGTCGAAAGACATTACAAACACATTGCACGAGTCAGCCTGCTCAACTTCGGCTGGAGACTCGAGAGGAAACGAAGTTCTCCCTGGCAGTCTTGAGCATGCAGTCCTGGGCTGGAACCCCGGGGCACAAAGAGCCCAGAACTACCGGTTCCTGGTTGCCCGGGGACGCAGTGCTCATACGTAAGGGTTGCAGCACATCAATAAGGGTGCAGGCCACGCGTGGCGTGAAACACATTCCAGCCCAGACCCAGCCGCGAGGCTCCTAGCCTTGCTCCACGCGAGTCCTCAACTTGGCGGCTCAGACTCGCTCTCGGCTCGCGCGCAGTGGGACGCAGGGGCCTCGCTAGTCCGCTTGCAAGGAGGTTGCCAGAGCGCGCGCGCAGCGGCTGTTGCATCGGGGTGGGGGCGCAGCCCGAATTTCCTGCCAGCTAGAGCGTGAGGGGCATTCTCAACGCAAAACCAACTCCAGAAAGTAGTGACCTGCCTACTCAGATTACTCCAGGCTGGCTCCTCCTTTGCTCCCCCCTCCACCTCCAGATTTGCATAAAAAAGGGCAAGAAAACTCTG